AATGATTTTTAACCGATATACTAACTAGAGTTCTGCGTGCGCGTGGTGTGTAGACTCGAATTTCGGCCACAGCTTTATTGTTTATCTTCATTCGGTGAAAACGTCAGCAAACTGATTTCTATCCACAGGAAATCTTTCGAACCTGAGTATATTAATTTAACGGTTATCTCTTCCTCTTTGATGTGCTACCTTACTTTTTATGCCATAATTTGATTTGCTTTTACTTGCTTCGCTTTGCTCCCACAGGCATGGACATTACCAAGTTGCTCCATCGGAATGGTAACGACCAATGTGCCGACTGCCTATCCAACGAAATCTTCGGCTTCTCTGCCGACTGGCAGGTGTTTGTTTGCAAAGAATGCACTGGTTTGTATGCATTTCTCACCAACATTACGCAGAATGTTAGAAACTCATATCAAATTAGGTGGCGGATGGAGATCCCTTGCATTCCTAAAGTCAGCTGACCAGGAAGAGTTAGCGAAGCTGCTGTCCTCCAGTAAGGGCAACACTCAGGTGAACGCCGAGCTAGAAGCTGAACTTCCCCTGTCCTTCCGCCGTCCATGGCCTGGTGCCACCTGTCCCGACTTCTATCGCGAGTATTTTGTCCAATTTAAGTATAACGAGAAGGTCTTTGCACCAGGCGCATCTGCCAGTGGTCTACAGGCGGACTTTACCAACCCGGTTAAGAGTGGCATGCTGCTCAAAAAATTACGCGAAGGGTCGCAATTTTTACCGCGTCTCTTTGAAATAAACGGCACTAGTAACTCTCTCAAGTACTTTATCAAGTCCACGGACACCGATCCGAAGGAGAACATTGATTTGGAACGCTGTAATATGACATTTGTTGATCCCAGCGAGTTCGGCTTACCACCACACACTGCGCTGGTGCAATTTTTACAAGACAATTCTACGCGCCACATTTTTTTGCGTTCGGACAACAGTCGTGAGATCTCCAATTGGTACAATACTCTACGTCTCTGCAAGTATCAACGCTTGCGTCTGCACCTCTCAGGTTCTGGCTCTGATGCATCTCCGGAGGAGATAGTTTCTCATCTGACCTCCGATCTGGACAAAGTGGGTTGGATATTCAAGGGAGGACCAGACTCCAACTACACATTTAGAAGGCGTTGGCTAATGCTTACGCACCGACGGCGACTACTCTATGCAAACGATCCTCAGTCGGCCTTTTCTAAGGGTGAAATATTCATTGGTTCTGAACACGATGGATTCGCGGTGACGGAGAAGGCTCCAGACGACTGGAAGAAGTGCCCAACGGAGTTTCCGTTCACAATTTGCACACCAAACAGGTCTTTTGTCTTTTGCGCCAACTCGGAGGCTGATCGGAGTGAGTGGGTTGCTATGCTTGTGGCTCTACTTAAGCGGCCTGTCACCTTCTTAGATGAAAAGGAAGCAGCCTCTGTGTTCAGCCGAAGAAAGTAACTTGCGCCGATCTCCATAGGCGTGTCTGTACAGTGTCGCAAGTGTGGACTGTGAATTGTGCCTTCAAAACTGTGACTTACGTTATTTACGTGATCGTATGCTACTCTAATTTTTGACTTATTTTTTTGCCTCTTTTTATTTTAGGTTCTTTTGCCTTTATCCGTCCTCTGACTTTATGCCTATATTTGATTATTTACTCTTGTTCATCTAATATTAAACCTTTGCGATTAGTGCATTTTTTCATTCTTAATAAACATATTTTCCCATGATCAACTTTCTAATGCCACATGTTTCCTCATTCTTTGGGCTGCGTATCCCCTGTATCTTGTTCTCTTCTTAGATAAGTATCTCACAACTTTTGGGAATTCTTCTAAAAGTCGTCTTTTTGTGGTAAAATCAGTTAAACGCGTGAAAGCAGCGATTTTTTAAAAAGGATTCCAAGTCTTTCCTCGGAGCGTGGTCCGGTTTTATAGCCGGCAATGCCCTCCTGTGGGTCAAACCTTAGGTCTGCTTTCAGGTCCCGGGCTCGTACACGGCCTGGGAGAAAATTGAATAGGACTAGTGGTCACCACAGCTTTGTCCGAATCCGAATTCCAAGGGTCCGTTTACTCTATTGGCCAGATTTCCATGGCATATGATATAGCTATGTGAAAGTGCTACAAGAGAACACCCTTACATCGCGTTCTATTCGGGAGTGGCCATATTTTCTGAGGGCCAGTCGAACAGTCTATGGGATGTTTAGGATTCCCGTTTGATAAATAGTTGGCGTGAACCTGTTTGTAAATTATGTTTCGTTATGGAAGTTTTTGATCCGTTTTGTGGGCTTGCCATCTTGTATACGTACTTGGTATCTACATTAATGAAACCAACTTCTTTGGAAAACTGTTGCGCAGTTGCAAGCGTCCCTACAAAGACGGATCCACGTCACAGCTCGAAGGCACTTCTGGTGTTGACTAGGCGTTCGTGATGTCATTGTGGCCTTTACCTGTTCCCTTGAAGGGCTCGCAGAATCAAGATTCTGGTGGCTTTCAAGTTATTTAATAGCGCAATCTTGAAGTCAAAAATCCAACGCTC